AAACCATTCTGTGATTCTAAGAGTTGTCAGGACAGTAATTAAGAGCAACAGACCTTGTGCTCACCTGACCGTCGTATCTTAGGCAAGGTAATCTTATCCACAGATTTTCACATTTGCCTCTTGAACATTTATTTTATATAAGTTATGAATGTAATTTCTCACATACACTCAGCACAGTCTCTGACACCACTGTGATTCAAATGAAATAAAGTAGGTGGGTGAAAGAGGACTGAGGTCTATTCTTCAATTAGCAGAAGTATGTGAACGTATTCCTATGACGCAGAACTATCGACTGTCTGTTTTCATGCATTCTTGTACCTGTTAATAGTTTTGTCTAAGGATAACATCATGGCATTAGGGAGTCACGTCAAAAATTTTGAAAACTCCAACAGAATGGCTCATGTTGCTATACTTTTCAGGAAAGAAATTCTCACCAGACATCCCAGATTTGGGTTGCTATATTTGAAGAAATATTTTGTTATTCCAGCACGATACTTTCTCTTTTCATACATCTATTACTCACCCACATATTGAGGATTCCATTTTCATCCATTGAAGCTATCTGAAATAGAGGGCCTGACATTTCTATAGAAGGAATAGTAACAATTTATATTCATAAGATTATATATAATATATATTCATTCGTATATATCCTAACAGTAACAAAGGATGTGAAACATTTCCTAGGTTAAAACATTCTCTGAAACTTCTATGATCTTCTCAGCTGCATAGAAAGGCAAATCCCGCTAATTCTTAGCAAAGAAGAAATAGGCATGAAACTTTCTTTGCCAAGTTGGTGGCCAAACACTGGAACAGGCTTCCCAGGGAGGTGGTCAATGCCTCAAGCCTGTCAGTGTTTAAGAGACATTTGAACAATGTCCTTAACAACATGCTTTAACTTCTGGTCAGCCCTGAAGTGGTCAGACCTTTGGACTAGATGATCATTACTGGTCCCTTCCAACTGAAATAGTCTATTCTAGTGTGTTCAGTTTGTCCTACCAGAAAGTCAGATGATCTCTGTCTGCATCTTTTAAAATGTCTGGATTCTGCATGGACTTTGGAACAGAACGTAAAGTGCAATAGATGAAATCTTGTAAAATTTACAATATGCAGCACATTTCTTCGGACTACTATGGACTGCAAAATTAAAATCTTCAATGGAAGTAAAAATGTGTCCTCTAGCACACTGCCTGAGAATTTAGGGGCATGAGGATTAAAGTTTCTCATGGTCAGCCATAATAAAAATTAGGCAAAAGGCACAGGAAGCACCACCAAATAGAGTCACACATTTTAAGTGCTTTCAGATATAAGCAAGGTGCTCCACCGATTCAGATAGGGTTTTTCCGGCCACAATAGAAGCACCAAGACTTCTCTAAAGGCACTTTTTGAGTGATCACTTGTTTTATCATGAAAGAACAAAATTCAGTCTTGAAAACAGACATTATAACAAGCATGCACTCCCACCTGATGTGAAGCTGCACTGAATGAACATAACATAAAAATGAGAGCAGAAAATAAATGTGAACGTTGTATGCAATTGATACTACAGGCACATTAAGGGGCAGAATAGAATTACAAACCGGATTTTGGTTATGATGCATTTGTTTTACTAGATATATAAAGAAAGACTCCAGATGTATTGATGCTTTGAAGAGCAGCTTACATACCGCCCTGATAAGAAAGGCTTGAGAGACCATAATTCTGATCAGGGTGGAGAGAAGTTGAGACAGGTTCCACGGCTAGTATGGGAGAAGTGTGGTTTACTGAGTTTAGAATGCCATCTGTAATTAAGGATAATGAAAGTTAAACACTATATTATTTTCAACAAAAACAACAACAAAACCCATATAATGAACTTCATAAAGAACTACTGTGTAAAAATCTCAAATACAATTCTGCAAACTGTTTCCTAAATTAAGAAAACACTGCTAGATAAATCAGTATTTCACCATTTCTATTTACTTCTCATTTTCCAAATGACTGCTGCACCATTTACACCACTGTACCAGACATTTCATTAAAATCTGCCATTTCAGGTTACCATGAAAAGAAGTACATTAATTTCAAGCTCCATAAACAACAGAGATAGAAATAAATCACTGCTTACTATAGAAAAGACAGAATCAAAGAAAAATTACTTTTAATAGAAACGAACAACCCTGAAACAAACAATTCACAAGAAAATATGTATTTACCCTTCAATAACATTTTAGAGTAAATGTGTATTTAAAGCAATTTCAAAATGCATTCTTAGTCAGATACACCCTTCCAGTACCTGAAGGGGCTACAAGGAAGCTGAGGGGACTTTTTACAAGGGCCTGTAGTGACAGGACAAGGGGTAACGGGTTTAAATTGAAAGCTGGGAGGTTTAGATTAGATATCAGGAAGAAGTTATTCCCAGAGAGGGTGGTGAGGCACTGGAACAGGTTGCCCAGAGAAGCTGGGGATGCCCCATCCCTGGATGTCTTCAAGGCCAGGCTGGATGTGGCTTTGAGCAACCTGGTCTAGTGGAAGGTGTCCCTGCCCATGGCAGGGGAGTTGGAACTGGGTGATCTTTAAGATCCCTTCCAACCCAAACCATTCTATGATTCTATGACACTCTTGACTTCTGGATTTCCCTCTGCACTGAAGTTAATCTCATTTAAGACTGAAGGCATAAAGCTTCCTAAGCATATAGCATTAAAACCTGCTTGGTTATATAAGCAACTACATGAAGCTGTACAGATACATTTGACTACCACTCCCTTTTGCAACACAAGGCCAAGCATCTTTGATCTACTAAAAAAACCTAAAAGTCTATCAACAACCAACTACTATTTACTCTTACACAGCTACTGCAATCAGACCCACTTCTTACAAGGCACAAAAGAGGATTTTGTACATGCATGGTGGGTTTTTACAGAAAAATAATACCTCAGTCTAAGTTAAATGGTAGCATCTGCACACACACACAAAAGGAAAAATACATAAGGAGGACTTATTTTGCAATAATAAAATTATTTACAAAACTATTTCTACGTGATTTATTTCACTGTAGGGTACAATACAGCTCCAAGAAAAATGGCACCAATTTATAATAAAGATTGGGACAAACCACGGGTCAAACTGCTGTTATGTGCACCTCATTCCCAATCTCCCAGCATACAACTACACACAATGACAACATCAGTAAGATTGAAGACTTGCTCCTCTATTTAAATTTGCAATGACAAACATTGGTAATAGACAAAGACCCCTTCATTTACATGAGATTCATGAAATTTCACACACCCATTCAAATGCAGAGTGAAGTACTTCGGATTGTGTCTTTTAGCATGTTAGTTACATGTCCTAAATAAACTTCTGTAACTTTCGAATTTGTTGTGCATGGATTGTAAGAAAGTTTACAAAAGCCTATGTTATTTTGATCATGCAGTAAGGGATCAGAAGAGCAAAAAAAACCAAGAGATGCAATAACAAGAAAATGTGAGAGGATGAAAGGAGGTCACCCACAAGCACTTTTGAAAAGTAACATTCTTCTGTCTTCCCAGCATGTATCCAATACTTATTTAGACCACATCCAAACAATGCAACAAATAAATTCCACATTCATTTTTGTTCCTGTGCTTCTCTGCCATTAAGAACCTGGAAAGAGCATGCTATAGCTCCCAACTCGCCCCAGTGGTAGAGATTTTGCTCATGTGACAAGCTGCCTGACAGAAAAATGTATGTCCAGGTTTTGCTCCAACAGGAAATTAATAAATTTCTAGAAATACAGAACCAGAGAGCTTTTCGGCCCCAAAGTAGTCACAGCTTCAGAATCCCTAAAAGACTAGAAGTAACTAACTGCTGACTACAGCAGTCAGAATTCAACTTACTCCATTATACAGATTCCCTCTGACACTTAGTCTACATACACTACTTGTTTCCAGTGATGTGACCCCCATATACGCTGAACCCATAGGATCTTAAAAAGACAGTTGCATATGTAACGAAAATATGAGAAATTCCTAGATCATACATTGCTACAATAATTGATAAATTGGCAATGAAAAAATCCACAATCCTGACTCAACTTCTAGTGTGTCTAGATAGAATCTAGAATTGATAGTTACATGAGTGGTATTTTAGAAATGTGTAAGGGCGAAATTCAGACCAAAGATTAAGACACTTAAAATTATATCTACATATAAGACAGCTGTATAGTATCTGTAAATGAACTAAATCTAATCAATACAATCAACCCAGGTAACCATAGACAGAGAACTACATTAGGATGAATAGTTCTCGACCATAGACAGAGAACTACATTAGGACGAGATGAATAGTTCTCAAAATCCCACATAGTAGCACTGCACTGGTTCTAACGGAGGTTATGCATGCATACACTTGGATATGCATCTTGCACATGACCCTACAGAAGCAGCAAGACTTATGTGACAGTTAGTACAGATTGCAGCCTTTAAATGACGTTGGAAAATGTGTTTTACAGTCTTAAATTACTTTTATTTTTCAAAATACACCTTAATACGCATGTTTGGATGTAGATAAAAAAGAAATGTTGGTTATATTAAGGGAGATAACATGACTGAAAATTGACTAAGCTAATGATTTCAGTTGGGGTAGTAGCTGAGTAGTCCATTTTAATACTACAACACTCCTTTGGTTCTCGTCCACCTCTCTATTCTCACTGCTTGACGCACATTTAGCTCACATTTCTTTACAGCTATCACTGATTGGCAATTTTTACTAGACTAAATATAATCTCTGAACTGGTTAAACTGGTAAAGAGTGTTCCTGGAAGAACTACTAGTGGAATTGTTTCACTGCTCACAGAATGCCTAATCAGAATGCGCAGATACTAACCAGTGGAAAATGTTGGAACTCTGAATGTCCAGTCGGTTTCAGTGAGCATCATATGAGGGTGCATTCTTGAGTCTTCTCGAAGATCCCACAACAACAATGAACCATCTATTGTTCCAGCAAAAACTAATGTGGTTTTAGTGGGACTAAAGCAGCAACATATCACCTGTTAAGCAGTAAAAATATGCATAGTTAATACTATGATAAAGGCCAATGATTTGTTAAACCTGAAATGTTTCTTCTTCCTAGGCATGCAAATCCAGAAAGGACAAATTGCAGCGGTTTGCAGCTAAAGGATGATTTATTTACAAGGGAAGTAGGATACAACACTTTCAGTAGGCCTTCCCTTTCCAAGACAATTGTGTAATCCACACCTAGTGACACAGAGCTGAAGGAGGTGATTCAAGTGTATGACAGTGATGGGTAGAGGGAAATCCTGACAACATCTGAAGCAGCTTTACTTCTGTTCACCCTTCAACCACGAAACGGAGTCAAAATTTAAAATAACCCAAAACACCATGACCATCACAACATTCTGGTAGTGGAGCACAAAATGGAATGAGAATACTGCTCACTAGGCTGAAATGTGTTTGTCAAAAGATGACACCTCTTGCAGCAAGACAAGAAAACAAAACAAACATAATAAAGCCTTTTATTCAATGGGCAAATATACACCGTTATTAAAACGTACCTCTGAGTCACATATTAAAACTTTCTGAGGACTGGAAGGCTGCCAGATGTTCCAAACGCAGATGATACTCTTTCTGTTCAGTAAACCAACACCTGCCTTTTCAGGTAATCCATGAACAGAAAGCAGTGTCTGCCTCTGAACTTGAGAGACACATAGGCAGGATATTTTTCGGTCTAAACATTTAAAAAAAAAATCAAGAAAGAAAAGCAATAAATAAAAAAGTAAACCCACTGCAGATGAAAAATCATATTTAGCTGCTATATCAACAATCAAAGAAGCTAAGATGTAATTATGAAGAATATTTCTATTAACAGCAGGATGCATCTGATGCTATACACGTGAAAAAGGAGGGACTATAAAAGGATTCCAAAAAATTAGAAGTAGAAAGCAAGAAGGAAGACAGCCAGGAAGTTAATAGAATAATTATTCTGGGCATAAGCAAGACAATCTGATCTGATGTCAGTATATATACTGAAAATGAAGCTAAGTGTCAAACAGGAAACAGCACAGGCCTGGCTTTTTCTAGTTCATCTCATGTGTTCATGTTAGAATACATACAGCTTTGTGTTGTAACAGGTCTTCCTAACATAACTACAGATGCCTTCTTTTTCATTTTTCTTGTCATCTGAACATCTACTGTTTATATGGGGAAGATATAACTGCAGTTCACATATATCAGTCTATATTCTCCCTGATCAATAACCTTGCTTTACTTGCACCTTTGGCCCTACTGTCAGCATAAAAAGCCTAAATGAAATTACACACCTTGGGATGTCTCTTTAACAACAGGGCCAAGAAATTACATCCAGGCCACCTCTATATCATGCTAATCACTGGCTATATTTTGTATTTCACAGTAGCTAGAATGCTCTGATGTTCCCTACATGAAATCAATCTGCACAGAGTTACAACAAGATTGGTGCCATTAAAAGAAAAGTGGGCTTCACATTATCTATATATCCTGATATGTGCTGTTTGCACTTCCGTCATGACAAAAAGCACGGTATTTTGCACAAGGAAGAAGAGTGGACACTGTATACTAAAAGGTGTAGAATAAAGTTCCCTTACCATGGAGGAATGGCTGGTTAGTATTTAACTGGAAACAGCTATCACTAATAGACAGACTGGTTTGTCGAGATCTTAATTTCCACCTGGGTTCTGTTGCAACTTGATCTTCCTCTAGCAAAACAGCAATCACCTTTCAAACATAATTACATTTATAGAAATAAAAGGGTCATCTTATCTTCCAGCTTTGCTATTTGTCACTTTCTAAAGTATGTGGATTAATTTAATAAACCTTTATCAACTTTCTTGTTAATATTATATCAATGCAAATACAGCTTTACAGACATAAGTTGCACAGTTGTACTTCCATTCCTTTGCAGAGAGATGAATCTCACTGATAAAGAGTATTCTTTATGTAACATTTAAATTAGTCAGAACAAGTACTGTAAGTGATCTATGATGCTTCATACTCACGCACACAAGTCATGAGGGATATTAAGTACATAAGCTTACCTGGCAAGCAGACCGGAGGAAACTGGCTAATCTTTGTGAATCAATTTTAGATGTTAGAGCTGCATTCACTGACACATCCTGGCTGTTTATGGGACCTAAGAAAAAAACAAAACTGAACTTGAACCTTCAAACAGGGATCAGTTAAGAAAAACATAACAATGTAATTTTTAAGCAAGAGGAGAGTGGCAGGAATCAACTACTCTTCAGCAGCAATAACAGTACGGAACAACAAGACCTGTTGGCAAACTATATCTGCTGGCAAATGAAACAGCAATCCAGAAGCAAGAAACTATTTCAGCCACTTACTCTCCACACCTTCCACATGGGAATTGAGAGATCCTATAGCAGTTTGATATTGATGCTGCCTGCCACATTACAAATTCTGGCAATTAATGGGTACAAACAAGAAAGTTCACATGCATACATCCATAAATTAATAACATGAAAATGTTCTTCACCTCCAGATACAAGGGAACTTTCTCCTGGATGCTGTGTCCATTTCTCCAATGTCTCAATTTCCTCAGTCTGAATGTCTCTCTCAAGATTGTCCTCATTACACTGAATATATGCCTAAAGTAGAATGATAAAGTGATCAATATATGGGTAACACAGCTAAGAATGACAGCACATAACTGCATAGTCATTTTAAAACTGATGTGCTCAACCTCTTCTACATGTAAATTCAGACCTAAGCAGACTGACACCGTATCACTATTTTATGCATGCATCTTTTACCACGTTTCACACAACAGTGGTAGACCTACCGCAAAACCACAATTTCTTACATGATGTGTAAACACTAAATTCAAAATACTTGGGACAGTAACCAAGATGCACTGAAAGTCCTTTAGAAAATGTGGAAGGAACACAAGAGACTCATATTCTAGCACAGAAAGGAAATGGCCAGACAGGCCAAAAGTTTTGATAACATTGCTTTGTGGTTAAAGCTTAGAGATTAAAATTATTAACTTACTACTTTACTGTCCTATTAGCTTTCATAACTTTCTTTTGTAAGAAAAATTATTTTTCTAGAACAAGAATCAGCACTTTCAGGATTTAAATATTACTACGTATTTGTCACCTACCTGCTTAGTGTTCAGTTTACCAAAATTCCTGATATACATGTCATACTCATTTACAGGAGGCAAATCCAATACAGAAAAACTAACTGAGAAGTCCAGATCTATCAGTGGGAGAAGTTCTGAACTCCGTTTTCTTTAGAATGAGTTACAAGAGAGAAACACAAAAATGGTTAGAACCAGTGTTTTGTATTCCAAAAGACAAACACTGATTTTGTACAGTACCAGAGATTTAACAATCCATTGATCTATGTGAATTGAAGCTGTACCAAAACTGACAGATAAAAATACATTAATAGAAACACATATAATATTGTTATGAGTTCTCATTTAATGTTATGCTGTGATAATTATCATATTTGAAAATGCAATACCGATTGCAAATGGCAATCTAGCACGATCATCTTGCCTAAGTAATCAAAATCTGTTCTGTAAGGTAACAGATGAATGTTGCTTTCTTCCTACAATTAGGACGGTGGCTGATTCCCCTGAATTCATGCTATTAATTTACATCACCTACATGTATACATGCTTCATAAAGATCACCTCTCCTGTCCTGGTTTTGTTAGACTTATGCAAATGTATTTTGAATGACCTCCCATTAGTAACTGACTGAGTTTGTACCTCTCTGCATCACTAGGGAAACAAAAAACAATAGCAGCAATCCTAAAATGTATTTTAAATACATACATGAAATGAATTTATTCCTGATTCATAACCTGTGGACATAAATATTGACCTCTTGCTCAGGAAGTAGGCCTCCAGAAACCATCAGTTTGGACTTGACCATCAGACTATTGGACTTGATTTACACTGTATGAAAACAAGTACTCAAGACTGAGGTAGACTACGTATTCTTCACTTTGTATTTTTGTTTTGAATAAGCACATTGTACAGTATTTCAGATACCTGAATCTCTCTGGCCTATGAAATGACAAATCTTTCCATCTTCCTAAATTCTGTTGCTGGCATGATAAAAAAACCCAAAACTGTCTTAAAATAAACTAATAAGCCTCATACTATTAATTACAACTCCAAAATGCCACAGCTCATTTATGGGACGCTTTTAGTCTATTTACTGGTAGCAATGTGTTATCACAGCACTAAATTCCACAGTCCCTTTCTCTTTCTGTGAAAATATTAGTTATCTTTGCAGGCTATATACGTTGTTAGCATGTACACAAAGTTATATACAGTCATAATCAGTCATAGTAGATAATCAGTAGTGGCTGACAAACATTTCAGATAGCAATTCTTCAAAGATGCTTTTCTGAATTTCCTAATCTGTCTCCACTGTCTGGAGAGGAAGCCTAGACAATAAATTCGGGTAAAATTTGGGCATATAAATTTAGGCAAGGTGAATTAGACAGCCTAGACAATAAAATCTCCCTTATGTGAACTTTAACCACTGATGTGCAGCCTTGAAGCAGTGGAATCTAGTATTATCAATAAAATTTAATATTCTTGCTTTATGCATCCAAATGATGTAACAGAAAGCAGGAGATATGCACAGTGCTTCAGATAAATCTGGAGCTCCTGGCAAGTTCCACAAGAAACAGGCATCAATTTGTTTCTTTAATACAGAGCTGTCTTGGATGTCTCAAATCTAGATCAATTTTAGATCAGTAATAACATGTTTTTACCCCACTCGTGTTATCCCTGGAAGGGAACATGCTATTTTGGCAACAGTATGTACCATATAGTCTTGATTATTTCAAGACATTACAGTTCTGCAGAGCCCCGAGAGCAGATAAAAGGAATGCTCTTTGGTACTATTAAGTCAATATCTAATTAAGTGACTGAAGAATCATACAAAGAAATTACAATTTTGGCAACTCTTTCTGCAATAAAATTATATTCATGAACTGATATATAGATAAATTTCTGTTATAAAATGATGCATAGCAGAGCCTGTATATTATATTTACTTCAGAATTAATTAGTGTTAGCTTACAAGATAATATTTGATTCTAAAAGCTTCAAGTTTATAAACTTCACATATTTCAAACATAATGAAAAAAAATCACATTTCACAGTGAGTTGCCATTTTGTGTGGATTATTTATAATACACTTACTTCTGCTTACTAGCCATACTTCGGTTACTTTGCCGTTGGTTCGCCATTTGAAAATCCATGAATATTCCACAAAAAGAGTTTTTGACAGAAGGGTGTTGCTTTTCTGTGATATTATAAAACATTGTTAGTATTATAATTCACACTTTACAGTGCATTAAAATGTAAAGCAGTAAGTCTAAAAAGCAACAGATTTATTACGACACAGCTGCTAAAAGTTACCAGTTTGCACATTACACAACAGGCTCTAGCACAGTTATCAGTACAATAAGCTTCTTAACTTCAGTAATGGGCCAGCATTTTTTCTTTATTACGGTGCTTTACCAACCAATTCAAAATAAGTAACCATTGTAATTTTTAATTTAGATGGCTATGATGCAGAAAGTGCCTCTTTCTTTCTCCTGCCATTAGCAGGTCCCTTCTTCCCCTGCGTACCGTAAAACACTCTATGACCAATTCTAAAAATCTTAAATTCATGCAGACTACGCCATGTGCAAGCTACACCTCTAAATAAGAATTCATCACTACAGTGAGTAGAGAACCTCATCAACCTGATGCCCTTGGATAAATAAACAAGACACTGAAAACTGTTGCCATAAAAGCCACAGTTAATGGAACAACTACAATATGTGATGTCATGCTGATTTTACTCCCTTTCCTGGCTAGGTGGTAGCTAATTGACCTTAATATCCAACTTCCAGTCAGGACCAAAGGTGTTTCATTTCCTCAGAGGAAGGCTACCTTTTTAGATAATACTTGTTAAATGCTTTTAGACTTCTAAAAATAATTATCAGAATGATCAACAGCCATTTTAACCAAACGAGATCAAAACATCATCACAAAACAGAATGTTGTATATTTTACAATAAAGCTCTAAGTGCTACAATTCAGAATTTAAAAATCTAATTCTGTATTAGAATTCCATCCTTTTCATTAGATCTATAACATTAATGGAATTCATTTATTAATTCATATTGTTTACTAGAAAAATAATAATAATTGCACAAATCTTCTTCAGGAAGAAATCCATATGACAGTATACCGGTTCTGACTTGACCAAAAATGGATTGACACTGTAATGACTTACAGAAACTCCATGCTATTCTCCCATGACCATATTGACTTTGCACAAACTATAGTGAAATGCTGTTTAAGACTCTGCTGCGCAAGGGTTCTATAGTGCTGTTCACATGAAGTGAGAGTGCAAAGGGAACCACAGTTGAAGTTCCTTAAACAAGTAGACCTGGCACTCACAGGTATCAGATCAACTGGATACAAGACAATTCCATAGTCATATTTCAGGAAAAAAAAAAGGAGGGCGGGGGAGGAGGGGCACATTTTAAAAGTAATAACCGAACTATATATTTAAGTAGTATCTCTATTTCTCTCGCTTTCTCACCAGAGCCGTGGCTTCAACTTTGCATAAAAGAAGACAAATTAATGTCATCGGAAGCCGCAAACTGTTCCAGCACTCCTCCAGTTTTCAAAATCCAGACTCTCATATCCTCCTCTTACCCAAAATAAGACATACTAAATGTCAGTCTGTAAATTTTTATACTTCACATTTTAAATGATTAGTAATGCCTCTGAATCATTCTTTAGCAATGTGAAAGTTACAGTACTTACCCACAAACCTAAGTGACTCACCCAGAGGAACAGATTTCCGCCTCTAGGCAAACTTCTAGAGAAAGCAGCCTGTTTACTCGTAAGTTGTATGTGTTACTCATACATTTAATAAAAAAAAGACTAGTATCTAGTCACACACCCATGACTGGTTCCTTTTTTTCATTTTCAATTTTCTTTGGCAGTGAAGTAAAAATTCTATCATTTTCTGCAGTAATTGCTCTTTGAATTTCTTCAATTTCTGATGTTCTAGAAACCTGAATCTTGCTTAGGTTTTCTTCTGCATCTCCTTCTTCCCCACTTTTGTCTTCACCATCATCAAAATCATCTTCATAATCCTTTAAAAGTAACAGAACTATCAGTAACTAGTAAACATGAGTTACAGATGGATTTTTTATTATTTTTTCAGAAATAATAAAATTATGTCAAAATAAAAATAAAATTGCCATATAGATGGCTATAAATCCTCTGACTGAAAGGCATTTTAAAATAACGTTTTGACAGAAAGAAAATGCCATGTCTTGATTGTGTGGTAATTTTAACCAAAAGAAGACAATCTCACAGTAGTGCTCTTCAGTGCCCAAAATGGATTCCTCCTTTTTTTTTTAATAACCTAAAGTAGGAACTATTTTTTAGGTGAATTATTTGCTCTTTAAAGAAATAAAATGACAGTGTCCAGTGGCATAAATGCTTCATAGAGGTATAAAGTTGTTTATTTGATAGATTTAATTCAAGCTGTCCATCAATGGCAGACTCAAATTTACTAAACTACCACACACTCTGTTTGCCCATCCCTGCATGAGGCTCATACTTTAATGATTCTCCTCTCCTAACACAAATTCAGCTCATGCTAAAATAATCACCTAACACAAATGAGACCAGCAAGTCTTAAACATGCTCATTTCTCTCCACTGAACGGTGAAGGGCTACTATAGTGCACAGCTCAACAATGGACATCACTCCTAATGTAAGTGGAGATGAATTCTAGCTCGCTGAGCAAAGATGTAGCTGGTTCAGCTAGCAATGAAAGCACATTCACCACACTCCACTATCTTAATAACTTTAAAGTAAACAAGAGAGAGTTAAAGTAAGAGAGTTAAACAAATATGTGAAGGGGCTGCTATGTGTGAATACTATATTTTTCCAATGAAAAACAATGAGACTTTTTTTTCCCCCTGAAACTGATTATTTGCTCTCATTATTTAAAAACCAACATTTTTCATGGAAAATCATTTAAATAATGGAAATCCAGTAAGACAGAAAGAACATCCTGTGAACATCTGAACTCACAAGCAAAAGTTGGTTCTCAACCCCTTATGAAAACTAAGTAAATATATAGCAGACTTTCTAAATAACAGTTTCGTTACTCATTATCTACTCTTGGTGAAATTAAGGTCACTGTCACCAAAAAACTGTCAGTAAAAACCATGTAACATCCTGTAATTTTATTTTCTGTGAATAAAGTTAATCACTATTTTAATACCTGAGTATTACTTCAAAAGGACAATTGTGTGCTTTTACTTACTTCAAAATCATCCTCATAATTTTCTGAAAAGTTATCTAATCCTGTGTCTGAATTATAGATGCATGTATCTTTCATTTCCTAAGTAAGAAATATAAATGAAAGTGTTAAATAAACTTACCAAAAAATTAAATGTTTATCTGCCAAATCTTAGCATAAAGACAGATGAATAGCTGTCCTCAGATATTTCTACTTTTTCAAGCAAACATGCAACAATTCAGTTTAGAAATACAAATAGAAGTATATTAACAAGTGATAATTACTGACTTAAAATAATAATACAAAAAGACAAAACAGAACTCAGCCCTATCTTGAGAAGATCAACTGTTTTGCCACCAATATTTTTATTGGGAAAGACAAAAACTGCTGCATTACCTGTAATTTCAGCAGTTTGCAGTAGCTTTTATGACGATGTAACAACTAAATAAGACCGTTCTACTTTTTTGAGGTTTAGACAAAATTATCCCCATATCTGTCATACTGGGGAACTCAACTTGTTAATATAGTGCAGATATTGGAGCCAGGAAAAAGAGAGACATGGATAAAACAGGAAAGTAAGATATTTTTATAAATAAGTAATTTTGTTCACATTGAATCCTCTACTGTATTTACATGGAATAACTTTTATGGCATCCCTCAAATAACTTCCCAAAAATTGCCTTTCTCTAGCTTATTGAACTTATTTAAAATAATGCCATTTGATTACCCCAACATGTACCCCAAACAAACATAAAGCTTAAAAGAACACACAGCGATCTATCCAATCTTTAGTCAGCCTCTTCCTTCAACAGCCTCTTTGAAGTCATACACTAAATTATCCACCTGTAAGGGACTTCAACAGATTTCAAAATGGAAATAAATGTGAGGTTTTATGAAAATGCATGAAAATTTTATGAAAAATACTTTAAGACAAATTCAACATTCTAAGTTCCAAACCCAAATATCTTTACCTCTTCTCTTGTGTCTCTTTCCTCTTTTTCAATGAGTTTTCCTTTATCTTCTACAGTCCTACTGAAAAAGAGAACATCAAATTTATTCGTTAACTCAGAAGAAAGCATGAGTTTTGTTTTGATTTTGTTTTCTTGGGGGGGTGTGGTGTTGTTTGAGAAAAAAATAGGTCTTTTTTCCTGGAAAGGAAAAAATAGTTGAAAATTTCCAATAAACTGAAATATTTCTACAAATACATTCATGCATCTCTATTTGTCATAATGCTAATTATGATCATTAAATAGCCAAGTGACTAATCAGCTAAATTGCAAAAAAAACTTGTCCAAATTTAATGCCTTTAATTGCATCAAAATGGAAGAAAATGTAAGAAGGGGAAAAAAATATCACACCCACATATCTATTAGTTATATCAATATCTGCAGCAAACTGGAGATGAAGATCAGGTTGGTGTAATGTGCTCCAAAGCTATAAATCATAGACTTGACGTTCAAACCTGGTCTTTCATTCATGGGTTTTGTCTATGAGGACAATGCAATCAGCATCAGAGAGGAGGGGAAAATCAACAACCAGCTCTGCTCCTTAACAATCAATTTGATTATTGTATAAGCAGAGTATCAAACTTCAAGAAGAGAATGTTCTGACTTCTTAAGTAAGAGAGTGTTCATATGTGCTGCTGTTGGAAGTGATGAACGTAAGTAAAAGCAACAATAAAAATAAAAATTTGGCTGGATCCTTTCATAACAAATCAGAATGATTCAACACTGACAGTGCTTGAGGCTGAACCAGGGTTTTGGGACATCCCAATAAACCATATTGCCTTCCTTGCTGTTCAGAAATGGCTAACTCCTTTTTCCCCAGCTATAAAGCAATGAAACCCTGCAACAGCCCATCAGCAACAGCTTCAAAATATAACCTGTATATTTAGCACTGTTTGACACAGTTGAGTGCTGCCAGGAAACACCCCAACGTATGTTTTCTGAAATATTTCTTCTTTTATTTCTGAACAGGAATACACTTTGACAATGACAAATTCACTACGACTGAAGTGATCCATCCCATGCTTAAGAAACAGTAGTAATATGTAGGCAATAGTGGTACTGATTCCACTACCCCTGTCCCTGTCCCCAGAAGCCAGCACATCAGTCTTCTGTTTAGCAAGAAAGCTGAACTAGGGTTATACTTCATAAAGTTGTGTAGGAATTTCTCATGGCTGAAGCATTAAAGAATGCAAAGAGAACTAGGATATATAGAGAACTTTGGTAAGATTTTATATTTGCTAGGAAGAAAAATTAGAAGTATCATCCTGAAATGTTATTGATCCTACAGGGGATGACCTGGACCTTTTGCATACAACAGTAAACTTGCCATATATATCTAATGTTTTAGATACCATCCAGAATAGGAAGCAGAGATACTCAAATGAAGATAAACAATATGAGTGTCCTATGTAGCTCATCATGAGTCTTACAGGTGTCCACATGACTGCACAGTGAATTTCCAGCTGGTACAATACAGAAATCTGCCTCCCAAACTAAGTGCCCAGGTTAACATATACATAGTTTGCAAGGACTGCAAAATATCTATTGCAACCCCAGGGTACAAAAAAACCCAAAGGAGTACAAATACATATATATTTTTACATGAATCCTCTTAGAGGAAAAACACAGATTTTTTTTTTTTTTTTTAATTGCTACCATATTGTACAAAGGACCTGTGAAAAAAATTATATTCAGTCTCAATATTTGAGATCAAGAATTCATGCTTGTTGTTTTGGTGGTGACTGAATCTTAGTAGATACCATACAGTATATATTTATTTTAAATATCTGAATTTACCTTACGAACTGACTGCTCATTTCTTCTTGAATCCTCTCCTCCTTTTTGTATTCACTGTTCTGTAAAAGAAGTCACAATATTCATGTGTCAGAAATGCTGTGAGGAATATGTATATGGACTTGTATTAGTAGCAGTGGTATTAAACAGTAAGAAAGGTTTCCAAGTAATCATTTCAATGGCACATACTATTTTTTATGAGTCTGTGTATGAACTAAAGTCAGAATAATCTCCTCCTTACACATATGGCAAACAAAGAAAATAAACACCATAAAGGTTATGCTATACCATAATATGAGCTTCTCCTGAAAATATTAAATACTTGTGAGTGAGGTTAGGCTACATTCCCTTCTGCAATGCGTTTCAGAAAGGAAACAAGAAGGGATCTTGAGTCTTCTCCTTTGCTTAACAAAACCTTTAAATGCTTTAGCAGAGTAAATTCCAGCTTTTTTTAATAGGATATCTTCACATCAGTATATTAGTAACAATGGTTAAAAAAAATGTTCTGGGCCCAGTGTATACTGTTTAAATTGTGAGCCCTGAGCAATTTCCTAAATAACCCCCAGGCATGGATGAAAAACTGACAGGGACTAAGGGCTGACCGCAGTAGGCTGCAGCCAGCCTGTTTCAAAGAATGGGATTTTCACAGTATGGACTATCACAGTTCACACCACTCGGATCCAAGGACAGAAAACAGTCTCAGGCACTGTTAATCCCCAGTATAGGGACTTGACTCTTAAATTCCATATTATGAAGGTCTGCCTAAGTTTGGAAATGTATTCAATAGGTTGTTTAAGATAAAGGTACTTGTCTCTAGCCATGAACATCAGAAAAAGAAACATAACTCTGAGACAGAAGCATCACCATCAGTGTGTATATTCTGTAACAGCTGCTTGAGTAAATTTCCAAGGAAGTCAAACCCTGAGCAAGCTCCTGACAGACTTCCCAGTTCTGCTGCAGAAAGTCAGTTACAGGAAATGCCTACTTATGATGGGCCCCTACAATGAAGATGCCTAGTATTTACACTAGAAAATATATTTCTGAACTTTTATCTGAGAAGCTTGTATATCTTCACTCTTTAGGGAGCAGAAGAAACTACTCTAGATCATCTGAATGGTTCTATGTTCCATAAAACATATCTGACTTTGTCACAAACGACTATATATTTCTTCTCTCATTCTTGCAGAATGAGTACTTGTATTATAAAAAAAGAGTAAAAAAGGTCAATGTTTGGATTAAATCTCTAGGATATAACATAATGCCCTGTATTAGAAAAATAAATTTTGTGGCTTCAGAAGTAGAGGCAAAAAATACAAGGGATCTGTATTCACTGGACTACTTCTGAGTTAGACATCCATTCTCCCTAAAACAGCTTTTATTCATTTTTTTTCTCTATAAAGGCAACCAATATATTTTAACAGACCTGTTGCCTAATCTAATCCCCACTTCAAAGTATTACTAAAAATTTGAATAGTCACAGCATTAAGAATTTTGTGCATAAAACACATTTATAACATATAGACAAATTTCTAGTTTAAATTTCATGGAAGGAATCAGATTTGGATTAGGATACTTAACTGCAGATGTGGTGTTTTAATCTACCACTTTAGTCACAAATTTCAGAAAATGCTGATTTACAATCCTAGTATTTTTATTATTCACCTTATCAATGATGATACATCAACAGCTGAAGTTATAAGGTAATGTTTTAAAGTCTTAACAATACTGACCTTTAGATCACGCTTTTTTCTTTCATTTTCTCTAGTTTTCACTCTCTCATTAGCTTCTGGTTGCCTTTCTCTGTCTCCATGGGAAGATCCCTCTTTAGATCTCTTTGATTTATGTTTCTCTTCCTCTTCCTTTTCATAACGTTTATGACTTCTATCTTTTGAAAGACTCTCTTTTCCTGGCCTAACAGAATACTCTTTTTTCCCTCTGTGTCTTCTTTCTCCCTCTTTATCCAATCCCTGATCTCTCTCTAACTTGTGTACCCGTTCACCTTCTTCAACTTTGTAGGCTAGAACTTTGTCAATGCTCTTTTTGGTATCATTATCCTGGAAAGAGAAAAATAACATTAAAGAGTTAGAAAGTTCTCCAAGACTGTTTTACCTTCACAAATCTATCCATTTTTGACCATGAGAATGATGGATTTGTCAATACCTATTCTCTTTCTGCCACATGGATCTTCAAGCCATTATTTTTTTAAATCTCCTATGATGGTATGTTTTACATTATCATATCACTTGAGATTCTTATATTCCTTCTGGAACACTGCATACTTTGCCACAGAAAATTCCATGGATTATGTAGTCCTCAAAGAAAAAATTAACTCTTTGTTTTCTACGTGGTCTAACATAATATGGGATGTATATTTTCCAACATCCTTGTAACAAAGGCATAAATAGCAAATGGAAAATTTTGATCAAGCTGTACAAAAATAAAGCCATGTTTGCTATGCAAATTTTATTTTACTTTTACTTTAGAAAAAGAATGAACAACATCCTTAAAATAGAATGGCTCAGATATATTTTATTGGTGTGTGTTGTACACTTGTGAGGGCGTTAGTATTTATGCATCTTTTGGATTTCTTGGGAACTGGAGTTTGATCCAGTTTCTTCATTATTCTACAATTTTATCTTATTCCATTATGAAACAATTAATTCCTTTTCTTTCCTTTACCTTCTTTTCTGCATGTCTTCTTTCTCGCTCTTCACTTCTTGTTTTCTCCTCCTCTAAAAAATGTACATATGAATTAATGAACAAATTTTCTTATAGTCAAACTCTGTACATAATTAAATCTATGATGCAGAAAACAGTATTTCAGTGATGTGGGTTTTCCAAAACATAAAAACTTTCTAAAAATAACTTAATACTCCATTTAAATTCTCTTTCCAAAGCTGGTTACCGCTCTTTCTTTCTTAATGAATCTTTGTTCTCAATTGTCTTGTGTAATGGTACTAACTTCAGCAATCACCCTGAAACTTGGGGATTCAAATGGATCACTCAGTAGAGAATGTCCAGGCAGGAAGTTACTTATTCTCTTCAAGTTAACTGACTGAAGACAGTGACATTCACCCTCTCGTCAGAGAAAGGGAAGCAAGCATCAAAACTTTTTAAAGCACCAAAATAAAACTAGGTTACCACAAGATTCTGTAAAGACATACATTTCTGTAGGTATTCACACATGCCTGTATTTATCCTCTCTGTACAGATGGGCTATGGTTTCAGAGTATTTCTATCTGAATATCAAATATATCAAAGTACAACGGCAGTGCAAAGCAACTTACCCAAATGATGTCTGCTTTCTCTTCTTCTGTGGTGTTCTTTATCTCTTCCTTCAACTGATTTCAGATTACTCTGTGTATCTATTTGCTTTATCTGTTGTCTTTTATGTTTTTTGTCTCTTTCTCTATCACTCTCCCTGTCTTTATCTTTTGGTACACTGTATCTTTCCTTCCTCAAACTTGACTCTTGAAGCTTATCTTTGTATCTCTCTTGGTCTCCTTCTCTCCAGTGCTCTCTTGCCCTTTCTCTCTCTCTCATTTTATCCCTGTCTCTTTCACCAGATTTAAATCTCTCTCTCTCTCTTGTTCTTTCCTTGCTCTTCCCTCTGTCTTTGCGTTCATGTTTATGAGTGTCTGTGTCATGAACAGACTTCTCTTTCTGCAGCTTCTTTTCTCTGTGCTTTTGGTCTTCATTTAGACTATCTGGTTGTGATGCCTGAAACAATAATAACTTTTTTTAAAAGTCGATTATTATAATTCAGCAATTTATTTAGATATGGTATATTCATGGGAAAAAAGATAATTATTAGATTGCTAACTATGAATTTAGTTTCCCAAATTGTATATTAATTATGATATATTTTTAGGCTTACTTTGTAAAATCGCTAACATTATGTCTGTACTTTATGAAAAAGGAACTAATAAATAAAGAATAAGTTGCATTTTCAATGTATTTTAAAAGAATTTGGTAAAAAAAGAAAACTTACTGTGGAACTGTGCATTCCATTTAGAGGTAGGTTGAAAAACTGACTAAACATCTTAAAGCTGTTAGCTCATGTAGACAGAAACTGTGCCATCTTGTAAAATGTGTTACAGATATAAACAATAATGATAGACAACTGGGGATCCTGAAGCTAAGATTAGCTTCCACTTGAACAGAAAGCAGAATATAAAAATTTGAAAGGAAGTTTTTGGCCTAGATCCCTTGAGGATGCAACTATTCTTATATTTTTTGGATGTCATAAGAGATTAGATTTTAGCCTTCCTGAAGCAAATCCCACTGATTTCACTTCATCTATGATTCAGCTATTTACTCAATAGAAAACTGAACTTGCTTTGATTATAGTCAGCAGGTAAAGTAAATTAAGCTTTATCCATCTCTTTCACAGAAATGAAAGTCCAACCGCACTTCTGTTGGAACTAAAGCATTTCAGCTCAAACTTGTTTGCTTTAGCTCCCGTGGAAGTAGTGGAAATGTTACTGAATGTCTATAAAATACACAGCACTGGCACTGTGGCACTGAAGTAATGGGGGAGCTAGGTAATAGATGAACAAGTAGGATGCTTTAGTTTATCAAAGGACTAAAGAAGATCTGCACAAGACATAGAAAAGAAGATATATATTGGAAAACAGCTTTAAAAAAAAATACAGTGCAAAACTAATATGAACATCAGTGGTGTTACTGACTGGAACCTGAATGCCTGTTTGACCAGTGGATAAAGTAATTAACCAGTTTAAAAGCGCATGACAAACATGATCATTGATGATAACAAATGCAATACATAATATACATGCAGGAAACTCAGTAACTATGTATAAAGCAAAGATGTAACTTGGATTTGGGTGGCCAGCAAACCAGATCTCACTGTGTCCTGTGTAAGTACCATGGCAATGGTTATTTGTTCCATTTACCTAATTAAGAAATCTGTAGACTACTCTCATATGACTCGTGTAGCTAGAAACAGTTTACCTAATTAAGAAATCTGTAGACTCATATGACTTGTGTAGCTAGAAACAGCTGAGTGGGCAGCCTCCGGACACACTTGGACTAGACAAATTCCATGACAGCCAGTCGTAGCAAGAAAATTAACAGCTACACATTAAGGATCTGTACTGTTTGTATTCAGTGACGCAGATTTAAAACATCTGGTGGACTAAGAACTATTATAGATCGACAAGGGACATCAGCTAGCAGTGAACAAGCAGTCAACCCTCCATTTAGACTGTTAATAAATTACAATGTTGTAAAGTAACTTAACATCAAAAATAATAGACATAAAATAAAATTACCCTGAGATGTTTCCTAAGTTCTTCTGATTTCCAAGTATCTTCTTTGGTTCGTCTCTAGAATAGAAAAGACAGCAAAAGACTGCGTAATCAATCTGCAGTGAGAAGTAAATCACTTAGCTTTTCAAAGGAATGGATCAAAGTTTATTTATGATAAGTACCACTGGATTTTGTTAAGTAAACATTAATTTGGTTTAGTCTTAGTGTGTATATTGGCAGTGTATCTGATCTGACTGGACCTGGGAGAAGCCTGAAGCTCAGACATTACAGGGTGATCCAGCTCTGTATACACAGTGACCAGTTTGAGGTCAGTGCGACCCTTCAAGACTCAGAACTGGCCCTCCAGTGATAGCCATTTGGCTATGTTACAGACTGTGTGGGTATGCAGAGTCAGGCCACTTTTCGAAAGTAATCAATGCACCAGTGTCATTATGTTCAACCTCCAGCTCTATCAGATCTAACTTCAAAGTAAGTCCTGGTCAAGTACAATTCAGGTGAGTTTTTATTATCTCTGAAGCTGGAGTTTGTCTGGGCAATGTGGTTTTCAGGTCTGACCTGTCTCATTTGAAAATATTTTCTTATACGAAAATATAATTTCCCTTGTTGATAGTTAAGGCCACTGCCTTCCTTCCTCTCACTGTACACCTCAGAAAAGAATCTTTTTTTAGAGTAGACCTAACATGCTACTTCACATACTCTGCCCAGCCACTCTACCTTCTACTTCATTTTCTCTTCATCATGACCACAAATTAATTAGCTGTAAAATCCAGATTCACACAACAGTAATAATAAAGTTTGCCACAAAGCAATTTGATACTTCTGCATTTTCAAGTAAGGAATACAATTGATGTTAGTATGTCCGTGGGGCTTTGTTTCCTTCATTTTGGAGCTCTACAAACTTTTCATAATTTAATACCATCATGCAAAAGTTACGTGGGTTCCTTAAGAACTAAAACCCAACAATTAGCTGTTAGAGAAGTAGGAATGACTACATAGATTCTATCTACACTCTGAAACATTAACAACTTCGGCTATTTTCACAAACCACCTATCCTCTTCTGCAGAAAGATCTGTGCTAGTACAGCTCCATCCTCCTGCTGCAGTAGTAGGGGCTTCCTTCCTACTGCTGCTGGGGTGGGGAGCTGCATCGGCGCGCTGACAAAACAAGGAGACCCGAGTTGTCCGAGGAATACCATGGGAGTTCCAGGGGCCGCGGAAGAAACCCGGGGGCTGTTTCTTGCCTTGCCCCCTCGGATTCCCTGGCTTACTCCACGTCGGGGAACACGGGTGGCGGCAGGGAGACGCGGCCGGGTGAGAGGACAGCCTCGGCAGGCACCAAAGCACCTAACGCGTAAAGGGCCGGAGGAGACCAAGCAGACCACGGCCACCACATCCTCAGGGAGAGGAGGGAAAGGGGCGAGACATAGGCAGCCCCTCGTGCAGTGTCCGCAAGAGTCAGGCTGGGGCAGCACGGGCAAGCTCACCCAGAACCCCAGCCGCTCCCCAGCGGCCCCTCACCTTATTCCCCTCCATGGCGGGGGCGGACCACCGACCGCCTCCGAGCGGACCGGAAACCGCGATAGCTGCGTCCGGGCCTGCCTAGCAACAGGCGG